GGGGTGGGGGGGGCTGTGAAAACCTGGGAATCCGCGGGGACAGTTCGGGGTGGGGGGAGAAGGAAGCAAGCTGCGGCCTTGGATTGCGGGGGGGGGAGCGTCGACTCTGTGCCTGGCAGGGCCCAAAGAAGCCGCAGGACTGGTGGGAGGGGGGAAGAGGGGACCAGCGATTGTGGGCCTGATAGGGTCCAGAGAAGGCGCAGGACTGGTGGTGGGGGAGAGGGAAACGGCGACTCTGCAGGGCTTCTCCGTCTGGGCTGCTGAAGTGGCCCAGTCAGAGAAGCCCCAGGGAGACATTTAAATGTCTCCCCGTGGCCTCTGGAGTGCTCCCCGGCTCGCCTGCCTTGGCCTTGAGGGCCTGTCCCTGCGCTTAGCCTGCAGATGGTCCTGTCCTGTCCGAGGAACAGAGCAGAGTGAGCCGAAGACGTTGGCCGGGGCTGACGTGGGCGGGACTCTGCAAAGCAGCCAGCCAACCCAGCCAGCGTCTTCTGACTGGCAGTTCTTGCGGCCAACCACTGTTGGTGCGCATCGAACGTTGGACACGAAAATGGCTTTATATATAAGGACAGGATAGACTCCAAATTAATATTCTAAGACAATTTAGAAATTGGACATTTAAAGTGTATTTTTTAAAAGCACCTGCAGCTATGAGTCAGCAGTAGCTGTAAGCTCAGGGAGCATTGTCTGCCAGATGCAAGAGATATGCAAATCCATTACCCATGTCTGTATAAATGGGCATATAAATGAAGTACTGAATTCAGAGCATCTGCTTTCAGAAAGCACATTAGCCTGTGTGGTGGAAAGTGCTGTCAAGTCACAGCTGATTTATGGCGACCCAGTAGGGTTTTCAAGGTAAGAGACATTCAGAGGTGGTTTGCCATTGCCTGCCTCTGCGTCACACCCCTGATTTTCCTTGGAAGTCTCCCATCCAAATACTAGCCAAGGCCAACCCTGCTTAGCTTTTGAGATCGGACAAGATTGGGCTAGCCTGGCCTATCCAGGTCAGGGCTTGTTACCCTGTGCTGACTGTTGTTTGTCTGAAGAGTGGATCGTTTCTTCATTCTGTTTATCACTTGTCTATCCAGATATATTTGTACAGTTAAAACCAGGTATCAAATTATGTAGTGACAAATGAAGAACAGACACATACCATACATCTTTGTGCTTTCTAACATTAAGGTGCTGTAAGAACAATTAAAAAAAAGCTGAATTTTTTTGTCACTGAAATTTAAATATCAGCATTTTATAAATCAAAAGCAGATTGTTTTTGCTTTCTACTATTTAATTGCGGGAATAATTTGAAACATGTGGCTCCAAAATGTCTGGAGTCAAAAAAAATTCACCTATGCCCCTTTGTAGAAAACTACTCTGAAATGGAAGGTTGTTTCTGATCAACATGAGTACATTCACAGCAGCTGGACTGTGTCTGTGCTTGGTGATAAAAGAAGCTAGATTCACATTCTCCTTTCAAAGATCTGATACCGCATTCAAGCTTTGCATACTCAGCTGTGTGCAGATTGGGGAACTGCATGTGTAGCAACTGTTTGTGTATATGCAAATAGTAATAGCTTATGGATAGCCTCGAGATGGATTGGACTATATATTTAATATGCATTTTTTGGTAGAAAGTAATTTATTGTTGAAAATATTGCCAACTATTCAAGAGTTATTAGGTCGTTTTTGGCACTTAAAAATAGAATAGTCTTTACACTTAGGTCTACAAAATGCCTACACCTTCTGAGTTTCTTTTGAGTTAATTGCTCACACATTGGCATTGTATGAATTAGCTTCCTGAAAGCTTTCTCCATTTGAAGTAATTTTCTGTGTTTCAGTAATTTTCTGTGTTACTTAAATCATTTCTCTTAACTAAATGTGCTCAAAACATCTTTTGATTTTTTCAAAACAATGGTACACTGAAGAAACTCCTACTGTCTTTCCTTGATTTGTTTAAATAGGTCCATTCTACAACAACCTCAGTATTATAAAGAACATGGTTTCAAACATTTTGAGGGAGATTCTATGAGCTGACCTGTGATTGCTGGTGGGCCTGGCATCAGTGAGTCTTCTCTCAAAACCCAAAATGGCCCTGGAAAGGGACACACACACACACATGCTTTTTACTGATAGAAATTAAGGCTTCAAGATTGGCAATATTGTTGTGGTCATCGAGCAAGGGCTACTGAGGGCATTCAGTTTTTAAAGATACAGGCACTGCTTCTAGCGGGGGGGGGGGGGTTGACTCCCATGGTTCTTGGTTGGTTGGTTTTAAATCTCAAGAGTTTTCTGCAGACCTAAGCGTTTGCATCTTGTCTATCCATGTCCCCAATTTCTGGTTTTAAGTATCTACAGATGGAACCATGTTGAGAATTAGTTATATTGGTGTTACGGAAGATGCCTGTATAATGTATGTCCAATTGCAGTCTGTGGTCCTGATCCAAGGATTCCTGGGTTACAGCAACAGGATGCACAAAGCCATGTCTCTTTTTGCCAAACAGATGGGTGGGAAGAATTCTGATGTGGAGAAGTAGTTATTTGGTCTGCTGCTGCAGGCTAGGGATCTTCAGAAACATGATAAAGCCCTTATATCCTATTTGCCATTTTAAGAACAATGTTTTAGATTATGTCTAACCCTAAAACTAGGGAGTCTTTTTTTAAAAATAATGTAGTGCTCTTTTACCAAATAAGGCACTTTCACATTCACATGTGTTTGCTTTCAGGAATGTTTCTAGTTAATGATATGACCAAGCTGTTCATCTTTTAATGTTTTTCTTCTAGGGTGCATTTGAGAAAATTTTTTCTCTTTGGCCATTGTCCAAAGGTTTTGAACTAAATGGGAGTGTCTACGAATGGTGGTTTAGGTGGAAACTAGATCGATATGTAAGTAATGCTTTATTTACTGTGTCACACATTTATCTTGGCCTGTAGTTTTGCCTAATATAGAAATGTGTTCTTTAAAGTGTGGAAATGCTATTAGGCTGGTACTTTACCATGTGTACAAGGCAAGAAGGCTCAGTTCTTTTCCTGGTCATGTCTTGTGAAGCCAGAACTGGTTTTTAGAATTTAGACACTGGGTTATGGTTGCCAACATCCAGGTGGGGCCCGGGGATCTCCCGGAATTACAATTGATCTCCAGACCACAGAGATCAGTTCCTTTGGAGAAAAAGCTGCTTTGAAGGGTAGACTGCATGACATTATGCCATTCTGAGGTCCCTCCACCAACCTCACCCCCCAAATCGCCTGGAATTTCCACGCCTAGAGTTGGCAACCCTGCAGGTGGACATGCACAAAGGGCCTTGTATGAATTTGTAATGTTAAAAGCACCTGAAGTATGCTAAAGCTGTGATTGAGTAGTTCTTCCTTTCTCTTGCAGGTCGTTTTTCATGGGATGTTGTTTGCTTTTATTTATCTAACGTTTCAGAAACGGCAGGTCCTATCAGAAGGAAAGGGAGAGCTGCTCTTTCCCAGCAAAGTTTCAAACCTGTTGTTATTTATTTCAGTAGTTTCTTTTTTGGTAAGCTCCCCAAATGTCTTCTCAGCTAATGTCTTTATAAACCAATTAACTGTCTTCATGATACTAAGGCAAGAGAGCTTGGTAAATAAACCTGGGGCATGCTATAGGAAGTCGGGCTATTTCAGAAGTTTTTGCCAGCCACATAGAGAAAGTGACATGTTGAGAGAAATGGTTAAAGATATTCCCTACAGAAGATAAATATCTCAAAGTATAACCTGTAGAACCAGCATTTCTCCTGCAATGCATTCAGTATACTGGCTTCATTTGTTACCTTCAGAAATAATTGCTAGCTCATGTGCGTGTTTATATGTTTTAGACGTACTCTATCTGGGCAAGCAGCTGTAAAAACAAAACTGAGTGCAATGAAATGCATCCATCTGTTTCAGTTGTGCAGGTAATTATGTTCTGTTTCTTCTGTGTGACAGAATTTTTGGTTGTTTTCCACAGTTGCATTGAACAGGCCATAAAGTGCTAGGCTCATAAAACAGCTGGCTGCTTGGACCACAAATGACAGCAGAGTTAAATAATATGTAGCACAGCACAAATGATTGTTTTTATGGTGTGGGTTTTCCCCTTGGGATGGATACACATAGTCTCATAAAGAAGGTCAAACAACATTTATTAAGTGCTTTTGAACATTGTGGCATCTCTGTAATAGCAGAAGTCCTGCAGTTATGATTTAGGGGGAGACACAGCTGTCATCTTCATGTCCTATGTGTATGGACATGTTTATGCAGAGTGCAACATTCACACGTACAAACATGCAGTGGGGTCCCTCCTGGTGGAGGTCTGCGCCACAGTGTTAAAGAGCACCGTAACAGAGAACCCAAGTGCCAGAAGACTGGGTGGCAGCCACTCATATAGATAAAAGCAGGGCTATTTTGGGGCAGGAACGCACAGGAACGGAGTTCCGTCTGGCTCCCGAGTTGGCCACGCCCAGCATGAACTCATTAGTATAATAGGCCACACCCAACAGCAGAAACTCATTAGGATTGGCTACATTAGGGGTGTGTGGCCTAACATGCAAAGGGTTCCTGCTACAAAAAAAGCCCTGGGTTTTGACAACAAACAAGGTAAACAGAATAAGAAGCGAAAGGTGGGTGTGGCTGGATGAGAACACTTCTGGTAACGTGGGGGTGTGGCCTAATAGGCTAATGTGTTTCTGCTGTTGGGTGTGGCCTATTATGCTAATGAGTTCCTGCTGGGCTTTCTCTACAAAAAAAAGTCCTGGATAAAAGGTCTGCAGCATGATGCCCAGCATCACCTTTCCTGGTGCTTTTAGAAAGTGGGCAGGACCAAGTGGGGTCTGTTCAATATAGCTTCTAATTGGCCATTGGAGATTTGAGAAGCTGTATAGAGTTTTTAAAATGTTGCTCCAGCACCAGCTGTCACCACAGGACAAGGATCTTCAAAGTGTGTTTCAAAGTCAGCCATGTTGGTAAGCTGCAGCAGCCATAGTGTGCCTGGTTCCACCTCCTGTGGCAGCCGTTTTACAGTTGTGCCCATCACACTGTCAGAATTCCAAAGGTGCCCACAGGGTCAGAAAGATGGGGGATCTCTGATGTAGATGATAGAAAGTGAAGGGGTATACTTAAGAAAATCATTGGGAAAAGGGCTAAAACAGTCCCTGGGAACTCCAGCTTCTTGTAGGGAAAGCAGATATTTACCCATTCCTCAGAAGTCTGGCTTGATTGCATCTGTTTATTTTGTTCTATAGAGCTCACCAACAGCCCGTGACAGTTCAGCTCATTTCTATCTATATAGCCCTGCCTGTTTATATGTATACCCTCTGTGTTACATCAAATACTTGTGCTACATTGTGGGATTGTGGCACTGGGACCTTGTTGTTAAATGTTAGTTGTTGATACCCTCTGAACCACAACTATGTGAGATGTTGGAGACATCTTCCATTGCTTTACATTTCCATATGCAGCAGTTGGAAGACTGGCAGACTGGCTTGGGGCCATGGCAGGGCTTTTTAATGCTCTCCAGTTGCCATTTTCATTAACAGCTTCAGGGAAATGCAGTGTATATTGGGAAGACAGAGGTGGGTTTTAAAAAGTCACCCTCCCCCTCTGCACCGTGGTCCTGGTCCAATAAAACACTTACAGACTGTAGCTGTATGGAAATGTCAAGAGGTGGGAGATCCATTCACATTTTACCAACATCTCATCCAATACAGACCTCCTAATTTCTGGTTTCAGTACAATATGGTGTGACAGCTAATGTGTTATGCATTTAGAAAATGTATAAAATAAATTGAAAAAGATTTACTGAAGGCAGTTTTATACATAAAATTTTTTGTCTTTCAGATATTAGCTTTTATCCTTATAAGGAATATACCTGGCTATGCTCGTTCTGTGTACAGTTCATTTTTTGCCTGGTTTGGCAAAATTTCTCTTGAGGTAAGTATCCTAATCTTATTACAGTATAAGGACCATAAACATGTGCTACAAGTAACATAGTTTCATTATGATCTGTGTGCAGTATTGAACAGTCTAAAATTTGGGGGCTGTAATAGAAAGGACTTGAAATTCAGCTTTCTCTCTCATATCGTTGTCCTTGAGAGAAAATGCCCTTTGATTCATGCTCATTATAGAGTAAGAAAGGCAGAGAAAGTGATTTCAGAATGGAAGTATTGTTACTTGAGTAGTTCAGACTGTACCTAAAGTATCAGTAAACAGGTAAATAAGTACCTTCTTGTGGTGTATCAGTAAACAAATAAATACCTTCTTGTGGTGTAGCTTATTCTCAAAAAACCCTTGAAAGTTTACATGGCTGGGTAATATAGCCCTCAAATAAAACCTGTCTCCTGTGTTACTGAGTTATTAGATCCAGGTGGTCAGCCATGTTGGTCTGAAGCAGTAGAACAGATTTAGAGTCCAGTAGCATCTTTAAGACCAACAAAGGTTTATTCAAGGTATGAGCTTTCGTGAGCCTGCACACTTTTTCGAATACAATGGAATGGGAAGTAAGGTTCAAACTTACGGATGGGCTGAACAGCAAATTAGCATGTAACATGATGAAGATGTTTTAAGATATGTGAAGACAACTAAAGAACAAGCTAGGTTATTTAGTTGCCTTTGCATATCTTAAAACATTTTCATCATGTTACATATTTATTTGCTGTTCAGCCCATCCGTAAGTTTGAACCTTACTTCCCATTCCATTGTATTCGAAAAAGTGTGCAGGCACACGAAAGCTCATACCTTGAATAAACCTTTGTTGGTCTTAAAGGTGTTGTTGTTGTTCAGTCACACAACTGAGTCTGACTCTTTGCAACCCCATGGGCCACATCATGCCAGGCCCTCCTGTCTTCCATTGTCCTCTGAAGTTTGCTTAACTTCATGTTCATTTCATCTATGACACTGTCTAACCATCTCATCCTTTGCCATCCCCTTCTTCTTTGACCTTCAGTCTTTCCCAGCATCAGGGTCTTCTCCAGTGAGTGCTCCCTTCTCATTTGGTGGCCAAAGTATTTGAGCTTCAGCTTCAGTATCTGTCCTTCTAGGGAATAGTCAGGGTTAATTTCTTTTAGGATTGACTGGTTTGACCTCCTTGCAGTCCAAGGGATTCTCAAGAGTCTTCTCCCAGCATCATAATTCAGAAGCATCTATTCTTCAGTGCTCAGCCTTCCTGATGGGTGCTACTAGACTCTAAATTTGTTTTACAGAGTTATTGTAAGGCTTACTGAGACAGTGTGCGTGATCCCCTTAGAACAATTGAAATGCTATATGCATTATTGTTGTTATCCACATTACTGTACAGTGAACAGGTTCTAATTTGTTTTTTTTGTTTTTATTTTATAATCAGAATAGGTTATCAAGTTATAATAGAGGTTCTGATTGTATATCAAAAGTATGTATGCTAAAAGTCTTATATCTTTGTGTCTCTGTTGCATGGTGTACCCAAGTGTACCCTCTTACAGGATCATACAAAATGTACAAGTTCTATAAAAGCAATGCCATAAGTGTAGGATCTTCCTCAATAACAACTGCTGCACATTATTTGTAGGTTTTGTTACTTTGGGGCATTACAACAGATTCTTGGTGGAACAGAAAAAAGTTTTTCTATGCTTACTGTTCTTAGAGAAAGTATAAAAGCGATAAGGAACTTGTGCACTCCCATACATAGCCATTGGGCAAACGGCGGGTGTCTCCTTATTCACTGTGTTGATGTTTTGACATCAACATGGCAAATAATGCTACTTACCAAACTAGTATGGGACTTATCAGTTTAACTGTTATGATTTAAAATTGAGTGCTATAATGTACATACTAAAAAAAAATCTCTTTTTTTGTTTCCAGCTCTTCATCTGCCAATACCACATTTGGTTAGCAGCAGATACCAAGGGGATCTTGGTCCTTGTGCCAGGAAACCCCATGCTCAACATTATTATCAGCACTTTTATATTTGTTTGTGCAGCACATGAAATTTCCCAAATCACAAATGATCTTGCACAGATCGTAGTTCCAAAAGATAATGTGGTTCTGCTGAAAAGATTGCTATGCGTAGGTGGATTTTTTTCAGGACTTCTCTTTTTATCAGCAGTTGAAGAACAATCAAGGCATTAAGTTCTGTGAAATTCTTAAAGCTTAACTTCCGGCTTACTTTGTGTCTGCCTAAGCCAAAAGAAAAATTAGCTGGAATTAAACAGCACAAAAAAAAAGAGTCAAAATGAAGTCTACTGAACTTGTATGAAGTGGAAATGTCACCATTTTGTCTGGTCATCTCCACTGACTAAGGAACACGGACAATCAGGAAGGCACTGTGTACAGCTGCATGTAAAAAAATACACCTTTTCTACTGGAGCATTATTTCTGTTTACAGCGGTGTAAAGATGGAGGAAGGCTTGGTTAACCAAGCCATTTGGTGACTATTGCATCCATTTTACTTTGAGGCATTATCGAGTTGTTAAATAATTAGTAGCATAGTGCAGTTAATGTATTTGTATGTTTCAAGAATCTGCTTTTGCTGCAAGGAGTTAAGCAACCTGACCCTGCAACCATAACAGTGCCATCCTAAACTGAATTCCTCGCCTTAGTCCATTGCAGCCAAAGGGCTTGAGAGGGTGTCACATAAATTCCAGTCATTGCATAGATTATTTAAAGAGGGCAGAATGCTTAAACGCTGCAACCTGTCCTTAAGAATTCAGCATTTTGATCCATGATCTGGTTTTTCTTACAATAATAGGGGATGTTCTGAATTAAGAAAATTAATAATGACAATTATTTTGAGCATAGCTACTATATACCAAGGAAACTCTTTTAACGCTGCAGGGTGTGTGTGCTGCTGACATTAATACAATCTTAATATTCATGTTTACAAATTATATTATCAGCATTTCAGTGATGGTAGTTTTCAGTAATTTTGCTGTTTCATTTGGAATGCCTGAGCAGTCTTATTCTGATATTTCTAAAATTGTTTTCTTTCTCATCCATGTTTTCTTCTGTAATCAATTCTAAGCATCTTAAATACTGATGTCAGAAGTTCAGTGAAAATGAAATGTCCCCTGCTGTTTTCATATCTTTTTTTTATTATTCTGCTGTAGTATATTCACTTGTATAGAAAAAATTAGTATTGTTCAACTCCCCTCCTCTTTGACCACTGAGATTTAGGAACTGTAAGTGTATCTATTATACGCTCTTCAGTGAAGAGTTCGAGCATCTACCTATGACTATCATGCAGCTTGTATAAACACTGGGTTGGCTCTGAAGATCCATTAGTGGTGGTCACAGATCTTTCCCTGCTTTCTTTTCCTACCAGCAGTTCCTTCTGACCCTGGGAAACGTTGATTCCCAGGGTTGCAGGACCCACATGGAATAATAGCCACATGGGTCACTGTGGTGCAGGGAGGACGGGGAAGGGAGTGAAACTCTACCTCTTCCATCAGTGAGACAAGGAAACAATTTTGTCCCCTTTTACCTCCTACTCCATGCAAGTTCTGAGACCCTGTGAATCAACTGTCCTTGAGTCAGAAAGGACTGTTGAGAGAAGGGGGAAAGCATGGAAGACCTGTGATCTTTGTGTGCAAACACATTGCTAGATGTAATCCACTGTAATTGTAATCTATTATTTTCATTTTGGAAGGTGTATTTATCTCAATCCAAGTTCTTTCAATGTTATGAAGAGCAACCCAGATTCAACTGCTTGAAAGGAGGGGAAAATAACCATATCTAAAATATACAATCTGAATATGCTTCACTCATCAATGCTTTAAAAGGGCTGTAAAAATCCCCCATGTGTGTAAAAAAACCCACCAACCTTAAAAATGAGAAACGGATTGGTTCTCTGCTCTGAATAGATGCATTAAACAGCTGCAGGTAATGGGTGGTAGAGGAAAGTTGTTTGTGCTAGATCAAAGTACTCTAGAATTATCTGTCTCTTCTTTCTCCTTACCATTTTATATGAAAAATAACAGTTCAGATTGAAAGAGGCAACTGCAATTTAAATTCTGCAGATTAAATTCAATACTGATCCCTTGACTTGCTGAAATAATTCCAGACTTTTTTGTTTTGGAGCAAGAGGACACATATACAAATAATAATAATTGTACATAGCATCCTCTGATGTTTTTGGATAAATCATACATGGGTTATAATCCAAAGTTTTCTTTTCAGAAGCTTCTGTTTTAGCACTGTAAGGAAACTAGATGAGACTCTAGGAGATCCATGACTTATCTTCCTGGACATATTTTAAGGCTAAATTACAGTTGTGTGCAGCTCCAGTTCATATTGGGGCCCTATTGTGTGTGTGTGTGTGTATGTCTCCAGAGGGCTGGGGGATAATCCATTTACCATGCACAGTTTTACTTACCCAAACTTCCTTCCCTGTGCTGCTTTTATAAGAAGGCTGCTTTGAGAATCCAAACTGCAGAGACAGTCTTCCTGTGCAGCCTCAATATTGCTTTTCTAAAAAGCAGGAAAGATCTGGTGATGGATCTCCCAGTGCCTCATCTGGTTTAACCTTGACTGTGCTTTGAACAATACTGTGTTCCAAAAGCAGCTTGGGTTGAGTGGTGCAGTTTTTATTGGAGGGAAATAATGTGCCTACACCTCTGCTATTTTCATAGTTTAAAAGCTCTTATGCCCAATCATACCATCCAAGCAGCATTTTGATGTGCTGTGGAGATAGCTTTTGTAAACAAAAGAGAAATACTGTATCTGTAGGCATGGAAGTTGTACACGTATTCTTTTGGGACATGACCTCAGACACCAGCGACTTGTCCCTGCTATTCTGGTTTGCTGCTTACTGTTTTAGCACTTGAAGAATGAATAGACAGTATTTGTTTTCTATGCACATGTGCGATTATATGTAATGATAAACAAAAGTGGCTTTTTAATTTATAGAAAGTATATGCCTTCTAAGTGGGAATTTTGGAATCACATTGTAAATGGCTGTACTGAATTATAATTACTAGGAGACAATTCCACTGAAGCATGATAGATCCCAGATTTCTTTCATTTAATGCTGAAGCTGAACTGCTTTACTGGGTACGCCGAATAGTTAAAAAAAATAATACCTACATTGTGCAAGTTCTGTATTTTCTCAGTTTTCTCTCTCCATTGGGTTATACTTTGGCACTAATCAGTACATTTGATTCAGTTCAGTTTAGTTAACCACTGTATGGATGATTGGCAAGTCATGGGTTGCATTTACAGATACCATGCATAACATTTTTAAGAGAACTATTGTTAGGTGTCGGAATTTTTTAAATGTTTATAAACCGAGTATTGTAGATACTTTATTTATCTGTTGTACAGATTTGTTTAAAGATTATTTTTGTTGGAGATGTTGCACTTGTTTGCTATTACTGTATGTGGGGTAAAATATATTTTCTTTTAAAGTTATGTGGAAAATATGAAGTAATTTAAACATTGAATAAATGTGCTGTGGGTGCTTATTTTTGTACTGAAAGGAGCATTAATTAAGCAGAGGAGCGTGTATGTTTAGTTTTCAAACGTAAGGTATTGCTTTGTTTCTTGAAACCATGTATAAAGATATGTTTTTATTTGTGAGGTTATACCATAAGATTTATGTGGAAGGTTACAAATTCAACAGGTGGTGAGTGAGGACACTTTTAAATAGCTAAATCTACAAGTGTTTTGCAGTATAATTCTTAAACTTAATTCAGACATCAATGGCATGTTATGGTTCGCACAAAACCATAGCTTGCCATGATATCTCAACAGTGTCTAAGAGTTACACTGCAAAACATTTGCAGATTTGGCCATTTCAAAATGCTGTTCTTTTTATAGGGCTTAGCTGTAGAGGCTTAGAGATGCTTGTCTCATTTCATTTTCTGTCTTCATAGCGTGTCAGTCTCTGGAGATCCAGTGATTGTTTTAATTATGGTCTGAAATATCTTAATTGATAAACTAGTTGGTTTGGAATCCCCATTCAAACCATGATTCCGGATTCTGGTTTGCTATCTTCTTGAATAATGGTATGTCTATTCAAGCATCACATTAAAATACTTAAGTTTCGTTGAGCATGATTTGGCCCCCTATTAAATACTTATACTTCAGTCGTGACTGCTACTACCATGAAACAAATGCATGCAGCTTTGAACAAGTCTCCCTTCTCTGTTACGACCAATATTCTGCCTAACCAAGGGGATTAGGCAGATATCCAAGATCTTCCCAAAAGCACCTTTACCAAATTAAATTGGAGCATATTTGCTAATAGTAAATTGAGGGAACTCAGCACTGCATGTACTAAGGCTTCCAAGACACACAACAAAGAAGAAAGCAAGAGCAGCAGTTAGTAGGCTGGCAGGATTTTGTTTTATGCTGAAGATTGCTCAGGACATCACAGAGGGCCTAAGAGTTATTTCCTATGAACAGTGCCTCTTTACATATAAAAAATGGCACTTAAATCTATATCAGAAATAACCAATGGTTTGATGTTTATTTTATTTTAAATATTTTAATGTAACAAATATAAAGTTAGTGTTTTTACAAATCGTTGAAAATGTCCAAAGTACAAAAAGATACAGTACATTAGTAATATGGAAATGATACAGTCTGACACTTGGATATTTAATACTGTGGGCATGCACACTCCATTGGAAAAAAAATCATGCATCAGATAAGTAAATATAAGGTGATCTTGGCTGTAGTATTTAGTTACAAATTAATAGCTTCTGTAAGTTTTCTTTCCTCAGGGATACCATTTACCTGTAAATGACAATTCACAAAAGAATGAGAAGTCAATTAGATAGGCAGGTTGAGACAGATTCAACCTTACATAAGAATCGTTCAAAGTTCATTTACAATTTAAGCCTCCTGAATGACCATACAGTTGGAATCGAGTTAATACACAGTAACAATGTTTTCTTGAACAGTGAAAAAGCAATATGGCACTAGTAATACTTGCCTCAAATCTTTGAAATGTTGTCATACGAAATTCTCCTTTAATCCCCGAAAGCAGTAATAAAAAACAACAGTTTTGAATATAGTGCCCTCCAAAGCAGTTTCATGTATGTCATTAACATCAGCTTGAGAAAGCTGATCAGTTCTGGCCTTGATAGTAAATGTTTCTTGCCTTTTGACTTCAACCTGTGATTAACCTAATTTGTGTCCCTTTAATTTTTCTGTTACATTTCTCACATGCCTGCCAGTGTAAATATTTTTGGACAGGCTGGTAGAAACAAACATGCTGTTAGCCATTACAAAGCCTGGCACACTGTGATAGCGAAAGCCACTGTAAATCTCTATTAGAGTTTTTATCAAAACCTTGTTATCTTATTGTTTCCATTATTGTTTGCATAACAAGAGGCCACTGTGGGATACAGAGTGTTGGACTGGATGGGCCTTTGGCCTGATCCAACATTGGCATCTCTTATGTTCTTATGTTCTTAAGAGATAGGAGCAATTTGATCCTACACAGTGTTATTTAGGCTGCCTAAACCAATGGATATCAAATTGCTGAGGGAGGCATTATTCTATACTACCATATTCTACATACTTATCATGATAATAAACCATCTGTAACATCGAAAGCAGCAAGGAGCACATCTACCAAGGGAGAAAAACAGTATGCTTAATTAGGACATTGAGTAAACCTGCCTCAACTTTGAGAGGAAATCAGGAGCAATCCCTATTAGAGCTTTCCTATTGATTTCTAAGGGATACATGTGGACTGGACTCTTCAGTCTATCTTCTGTTTTTATTTCCAGGAACCCTACAACTACTGTCTCAATTTTATAACATTCTCTTCTGTTCTCTGTTGTAGATAATCCTCTCCTCCGCCTCCCAGTGTTTTTCTCCTCTGGTCCCAGAAATATTTACACGAACAAAAATGAGTCTGTGAGCACTTGGTATAATCTGATTAGGTTACATTCTAACCCCAAAACAAAGTCAAACTCACCTTCTGTCTGCTGCTTTGGAATTTGAGTCTGATGTGGCAGGTTCCTATAAAATGTATATATGCTATTAAGTTTAAACATTAGAAGCCAATCCATCAATTCTGCTTTGCAAAGTAATGCAGAATACTCAAAAGAATAAATGACAGCAACAGAAGGCAAATATTTTCATGTATTATTCAATGTACTATAATGATTGTCCAAAGAAATCTGATAATTCCTTACATGATTAAAAAGGAAAGCTATGTATATCCTCCATTCATGGAGGAGGGTATGCTGGTAGGGACTACTTGTCCCACTTGCTTCATAGGCAGGCCATGTAAATTAGGCCACGGGTTGGATCCAACCACCTTCTCTGCTAGTGAAAAAGGAAAGAAATGTCCTCTTTGACTACCCAAAAGGATTATGCTGAGCATCGTGGGACCTGTATGTACAAAAGCCATATGGGACAGGAGCTATAGTGTGGAGTGGAACTGGGTGAAACTGAGTGAAAAATCTGGTTGGATCCAACCCTTCTGGGAACACTGCAGCAACAGGAGCTCTTAGCTGGTAAGCAGGCTCATACAGGAATGAGTAGTTCATTTAAGCCCTAAATGGTCTGGAATTAGGGTATTTAAAGGTAATGACCAACACCTTGAATTGGGCACAGAAGCAAATTGGTATTCAGTGTAGCCTTTTCAAAACTGTTGAGATATATTTCCTCATAGGTCTGTGAGAAAAAGGAAATTCTATGTAGAAACATTACAAACCATAGTAGAGCTAATGCAATGGGGAAACATCCTTTCTTTCAAAGACTTTGCAAAAGCATTCTGCCATGTGACAGTTCACCCACAGTACAGGGAAAGTCCCAAGTTAACCTACAGCTCCCAATATAAGGACCTTCTGTTCAGTCTCTCCTCAGCACCTATCTGACTATCTGAGGCATCTTTGTTTATCCCTATCTAGACAATGACCTTCTCTGTTCTACTCTGGAGCAGGGTTTCATGGATATCCAGAACAGCATTCACTGACTGAAACATCATGGGCTTCCAATAAAATATCAGAAAAAAGACCCATTTCCCTCCTAATTGGGGGGTTCTTGTTGACACATTCAACACTTGAATCTCTCCAACCAGGCAGGTGGACAAGCCTACTGCATTCCATCACCCAAATCATCAAGAAGTCTTTAGCGGATATGACTCTAGCCCACATCCAAGGTCTAAGAATCACATTCCTGCATATGGTTCCATGGGCCTGTTTTCACTGACATATACAACAGTGCCTGCTTCTTCATTATCAAGAGATCATCAGCTACCAGCATCTCTTCCATCAGAGATCTCAACTTTTCTCCATTGGTAGTTGCAATGGTGCAATCTTTTGACAGGAATTCCAGAGAAGGAAACAACTCAAATACAAGTCACCATGGAAACAAACCTCACAGCTGTGGGCAACTAAGCCTCACCCAAGGAAAATTGATGAGAGTTG